CCCTGCAGACCTTTCAAAGGATGGATGAAGGATGGAATTTCAGCCTTTTTTTAAAACCAGGCCTTTTGCTTAATACTGCTTTTAAAATTAATGTCCTCTTTTGAATGCCAAGAAAACAAAAGGAATTTCTCAAAAGTGTGTGCAGCTTGACACAATAGACCTTAATTGGTGTCAAGGAGATGTTAGGATGAATGGGAAAATGCCCGATAAGACTGAAAAGTGGAACCTTGTTATGAGCTGTCATTTCAACGTGTATTTAAACTATAGCAAAACTGAAACATATTTGCCATATAGATCATAATGACTCCAAAGGAGCCATTATACTCTATTATGTAATTACATAATCAAAGCATGCATAGTAATCAGCTTTTGAAATTCAATGCTAATCAAACATACCTATAGTATGTGTTTAAGCAAAAATAGAGAACGTTAATTTGCCATTAGTCAACTAAACAAGAATGTGTATACAGAATATTCATGAACAGCTTAATGTTGTGTCAGACGATATTTTTTGTTTTGTATTCAGGGGAAATCAACAATTTTAATTGAAGAAAAAACCAGCACAGAGGAGGATTACTCTTTAACTTGCCATTCAAAAATTTGCCTCACCTTTTACTGATTACAAAAGGAGATTAAATTAAATAAAATATTTTTTTCTTTCATAAGCTCAAGTGACAACAGTAATTATATAGCAGAAGATTCTTTTGAGATCCTGACCATCTCCATGCCATAGGGTACAGTGTTCTAAATGCTACATAAAATAAAGCTTTCAAAACAACAACAACAACAAAAGCCTTTGCATAGATATTGCTTTTGTAATTAGCAATAAATCGAAGGTGTTATCTAGAATGAGTCAAGAATAGAAATATCTTGATGACTTGGTCAGGAGGTCTGGCGTCTACTCATGGCTGGGCCTCATGCTTGCCATATGATTTCAAGCCTATCTCCTCCCTGGGCCTAAAGTGAGAGAGTTGATCTCCAAGTTTCTTTCTACTCGGTTCTATTGATTCCGGATTCCATAGGGTTCTATAAAAAACAAGGTGATACAGATGAAGTGTTTGGGTCAATGTCACATGTTCTCGTTCACTCTATTATTTGTTGAGTTGGTTTAGTTTATTTTTTCTCTAAGCCTGTGGACTGTATGGTTGGCATTCATAATTATTTTCACCATTAAGTAGACAGTCTTTGGAGCAGACAATCAACATATTTGACTTAACTCTTTGGTGTAACAAAACATGGAGAGGATCAAAAAGGTTAAGAGGGGCTTTGTAAACAGCAGACAGATTGCTTGCTTTCGATTTTAGATAAACACTAAAGTGTTCATGCAGGTTGAAATTTGCCTGACTCAGAAATAAAGAATTGCATTTGTCGTAAGCCTTTACCTTAAATCTACAGTTGCCGAGCCCCTTTCTTCGGACCCTGGTTCTCACTGTCTCTTGTCTGCACATTGGATGCCTAAAAATGTTACTGTAATATTTAAATAGAACTAAATTCTTTCATCAAACGCTTTCGTGGCTTGAACTTCGAATAATTTATTTTCAAATTACTTTTACTGTAATTCTTATTAATTCAAATAGGTTTCTGATTTGATATAAAACTCTGTAAATGCAGGGAACAGTTTAATGAATTGAAAGATAGGCTTGAGTCTTTTAAAGGAAATGTACAAAATATGCTGACAATAATTGCTTAGATAGAAATCAAATCTTAATGGCTTTGTTAATGATTTGTAGTGAACACTGTGTTTACGTTGACTTGGGGGAACATATGTAGTTAGAAAGATTTTTCCCTCTGGGTTTCAGCAGAATCTTAATTTTTTTCATTCTTTTCCTGAAACGTACTCAACTCTGTACTAGCTCTCAGAAACGTTAGCAGGAATTGCAAGTGCCTCTACTAGTGATGGTTTTTTTTTTCAGGTAGGGATTAGAGGTTCTGCTTCCAAGTTGGGCACATCCTGAACAGGGTTGTAAAAATAGTAGCCAACAGAAATGAGCATAATTGACAAGGCATTTGAAGCTTCAAGTCAGCGAAGGCTCACACTTCTACAGAAAATAAGATTTCCAAAACGTGCTTCTTTGAAAATTTCAAACCTAGGAGGGTAGGAATTTATTAATAACCTGAGCCTTTCATTTGTGTAAAATTTCAAGAACTATAGTGGAGTTTTTAAAGTAATAACTTACTACATTGATCATCCGCAGGATTTTTTTTTTTTTTAAACAATCTATAGTTTTGGTTTGACTCCTATTTAGACGACATGACCGTGCTGATTTAATGTTAGGTTCAGTCTTCCATAGAGCAGAAGGTTTTCCTAATACGATTAGTTTTCCTAATACGATTTTGCTACTAAAGGAGTACGTCAAGGGACTTTATTTGCTCTTTTCTCTGGGCAAACTGTCTTCCCTGTGAAGAGCTGCTGGTGCTTCTTCTCTATGTCAGTAACAGTTTACGTAGTTACCATAGTATAAACTGAATTCTGTTTTAACTATGACTTGCCCTTTTGTTATAGTCTTGACTAGAGAGACTCCCCCGGTGTAAATGAAGTGCTTTATTTATGAACAGCCAGGCAGCGGAGGCGAGAGCTCGTGGTGCTGGCAAAAGGCCGCCATGCACTGGTAATAAAGGCTTTCTCTAGGGGCAGAGTGCCGAGCACTGAAAGAAGGAAGCAGTAGTAAACAAGGTGTTTTACATTCAGAACAGTTTCTCTCTCATCTTAAAGTGTGTAATTGTGTTCTGGATAAAATACGGAAATAAAAAAATCAGAAGTTGCTCATAGGCAAATAACCCTCTTTAAAAACAAGTACACTTTCCAAGGCAGAGGCAGTGTGAACCTTGGCATCAAAGCCTGATGCTGGCTGGTAAAAAGTGCAAGCTGTATGGGCTGGAGAATCTGACAGAACCTGGTTCAAGCACCAGCTTGGCCACTTAGCTGAACGACATCAGGCAGCTTATTTAAATCTCTCTGTCTCCGATTTTTCATCTCTAAAGCGAGGATACTGAAAACTCCAGGAGTTTGAGAGAGAAAAGTATGTAAAGCATCCTTCGCAGTGCCCAGCCCTGGATAAACATTTGTTCCTTTCCCCATGTCTCGTTTAAGATTTACCCTGTCACCTCCCTACAGTGGTCATATTGTTGACTGAATAGATTCCAATCCAGGCAAGTGTTTTATGTAATGTCACTGAAATGGAGTTTATAACAAAACGAGGTTTTAGAAAAGAACCTGTAAACTATGTTAATTGAAGATTGAATTAGTAGGGGATTTATGTGCCCACTGCACCCCTACCCCAACAACTCTGCTGTCATGGTGGTTACTAATCATAAAAATACATTTTATCTTTCTTTAGACGATCAGCTTTCTCTTCATTGTGATGAATGCCCTAACAACTTCTAGTTTACTGCAGGAGGCTTGCTTGTAAGCGAATGGGACTCTCCAGTGCCATAGTTTTATTTTTAGGAATTGTCTGGCAAATTAGGAAGTTATAGGGAATATAGTTGCTGATACAAATAAAAATCCAGTTTGATTTTGTTTTCTAAATCTCACCCTTACACGCCGATTAGCAGTCAAAAATGTCTATACATGCCAGATACTGTTCCACCCTTAAAATAAATTACCTTCCTGTTAACAGCCTTATTTAATGGCTACACTATATTGTACCTATTTGTTTTCTTTTGCCCAGAACATGTGCTGTTTCTGCCTTGACATTATATCTGCTAATTGAGTTTTAGAAAATCAGAAAGCTTTTAAAAATGGATTCTTGAAGAAGGGCACCAAAGTTGCCTATTTGTACCCTTCTGCTACACATCAAATTGTGTTTTGTAGCAACCTAATTGTCATGATATCTATTTCAAGGGGAAATTTATCAAGTCACAGTGCACCCTTCTGTTTGGAAGAAATATTTGAGGATGTGAGCAGAAATTATTTTTACATAAAGGCTTCAGGCAGTTAAGAGTACTGACATACATACCGTATTTTCATCACTGTCATTCACTTCCTTTGCCTCAAATAAATAGGTCATTATTATTCCTTTGCAGCCATCTTATGGCACCTTAAAGCGTGGAGCTCTGTTTAACATAACTGCCGTCCGGCTGACCCATATAATTTATTGGTGATTTTTACAGAATGACATCCTTGGGCCACCACCATCAGCCAAGGCCCTTTGATCTCTTTCAGCAAAATATTTCATGATCACTTATAATTTTTTGGCATTAGTATTATAACCATGTTAACATAGCTAGGAACTGGCATTTCCTGAGACACTGGATTTTAGGTTAGCCTCGGCGATTTTAGAAAATAATACAGTCATGATGATGAAACCACCGTAGATTTGCAGAGCGCAGGATGTGCCGGAGCACAGCAAGGGCAAACGTTTGCAGATGGAAAAATTTTACCTGAATGATTCACTCAGTAGTGACATGTTAAAATGGTTTGGCCTTAGAGTACTTTATTATAAGTGATAATTAAGAATGTTTAGATTTTCCTAGAAAACAAACAAAACCTCACTCTGATTTATTGTTGTCATTGCTTAAAAGACAAAATCATGGACAACACACCTCTTTTTCCCATCCCCTTTATACATGTTTTGTAGCCTTAATGTGAATGTAGTACGCTACTCTCAGAATATACTAGCCTTAGGATTTCAATAAAGAGCGAAAATTAAAGCATACAGTTATTTCCACAGGAACTATTCTATTAAAGCATAATTGAATTGCAACTTGCTTTAAGTCCCAGTGGCTGCAAGATAGTAGTCAGGATTTGTAAGGCCTTGGTTTATGTTGAAGGGATTAATGTCTGTCACCAGGCTGTTCCACATGTACCTTTTGTAAACTGAAGATTATTTGTGTTGCTAATATACTTCCTTTGATAGAAGAAATCCCTCCCATAACCCAGTAAGACCCCGTTTGGTATTCTACTCTGCTCAAAGCAAGTCCTATGCCTTAAGACAGATACAGCACTTGAATCACACAATTAAACTTTTTTTAAATTTTAGTAGATTGAGTTAAGTTACCTGAGGCTGTGAGAGTGGTGGCTTTTCTGTACACGCTTTTGTCAGGGCCAGCAAAACCACCTTGAAAAGCTTGTTTGATTGGTAGAAATTTTCTTCTCCTTGTTCTTTTCTCCAGTCTGGAAATAAACTTTCTCTCTCCAGCTGGGTTCTGAATTCTGTGTTTGTCACAGTAATCTTACACCAAGGAAAAAAACATCCGTTCATTTTTTTTCTGATCACCTTTTCTCTTTGTTGTTATTCTGTAACACTGTTCTGCGTGCTAAGCTTCCACTGCTGGATCAAGCTGTGGGGAATTGACCCTCTCACTCACCACAAGCCCTGTGGGCCTGCGTTCTCACACCCGGGTTAATTCCCTGGATCATAGAGCTCGAGGTGGGGTTTCACTTTGGTCTGCTCCTCAAGCACCAGAAATTTTTGTTTATCTGTGGTTCTAATAATTTTTTTTCCTTATCCTTTTAGTTTCCTCTTTTCTAATCCTCTGCCAGGGGCTGGTCTATTTCTAGGTGGATTTGGCTTAGAGCCATCTTAGCCACCCCTCTCACACTTTCCCAGTGTGTCCTAGCAAAGAAAAAAAAAGGATCCTTCAACAGAAATATGATAGCAGGTGGAAACCCTCCATTGATTCTAATTGCATCTCTATTTATACTGTCTCAGATTTTCTTTAGATGAGTATTTATCTTTGACCTTTGTTGCGTTATGTGGGAACATTTTTTAAGGAGCAAATAATCTGCCCTGAGTTGGTTTAAAACAGCTACATAGGGAGGTCCTTGAGAGCAGGAGCCTTTATTCTTGGATCCACACCACTCCCAATTCGTAATGGCTTAATAAATCTTTGTATTTGATGTCTAGAGAAATGATGAGGATGATGATGATGATAGCCGCAGCTGCCATTTATTCAGTTTTATGAGAAACTAGACACAGTGCTAAATACTTTCTATTTATTATCCGTTTTCATCCCCCTGTCAGCCCTGTGGGATAGCTTTTAATTACTATCCCCATTTTTCAGATGAGAAACTGGCTCAGGGACTTTAATTAATTTTCCAGAGATCACACAGCTAAAAAGCAGTCTCTCTCCCCTTCCCCGTTGATCTTTACATCTAATGCCTATGCCACACTTTTTGTTCTGTAAGTAGGGGATAAGGTATCGGTTTTCACCCACATTGCAGCTTCTTAAAGGCTAGGACAGCATATACTTCTGTATCCCCTGCTTTGCCAGGTGTGACATGGAACACTGGACAATTACTTCATCCTTTGGTTCTGAATTGAGCTCACTTCTCCTCCTACCTGTGCTGTAGATCATTTAGGACATTTATGAGGTGGCCCGGCTGCTGTCACTAATCTCAGAAGCAACAAACTAGGGCAGATCTGGAGATAAGCCTTATATATCAGTGAATCTGAAAGCCTGGACTTTTTGACATGTTCTGAGGGAGATTTTCTAAATGGTTGGCAGGGGGTGGGGGGTGAGCTGCAGATAGGGGTTTCCGTTCAGAGATGCCTGGGGCTTTGGGTGAGTCATGAAGGTATGAGTTTCGGAGGACAGAGTAACAAACTCCAAACCCTAAGCCTCCCCAGGATTTTATTGAGATCCCAAAGAGTCAGTTAGGCCTCACTCACACACGATGAACTGCCTATACATTGGGACTGTCATCATCAACTAACAAGACGAGAGTATTTATTGAACCCTCCTACCTACTTCTATTAAGTGGCTCCTTGAGTTTCTGTGAGGCTGACCAAATAGCTTAGCTCAAGGGCGGGTAAGCTAAATTTGGCTGTATCTATCTTCCCTACTCCATTTGCGAGAGCTTCAGCATTCACAAAAGTCGGTACTCTGACCTTTCCAATACCTCCTCAGTATACTACTCAACTATACAAAGTTCTAGAGGCTAAAATGTTTTGTATCACAGCTTTTGAGAGTATGGTGATTCCAGGCTTAGTATTTTGTCCCTAGGTCTGTCTTGGATTAATAGACTCGTTTTGTAGACTACAAAGAAAGGTATGAGCCATGCTAAATATTGCTACTTGTGTTCATTTTCTAATATGCCTAGTTCCCACTTTAGTAGATCCCATTGATCACATTTTAATTGATGGAAATTTTCCTCTGACCTTTTCTTCCCTTTTTTTAAGGTGATGGACAGAATCTGTTTACGAAAGACGTGACAGTGATCGAGGGAGAGGTTGCGACCATCAGCTGCCAAGTCAATAAGAGTGACGACTCTGTGATTCAGCTACTGAATCCCAACAGGCAGACCATTTATTTCAGGGACTTCAGGCGTAAGTTTCCATCCCTATAGTTGTAGACGGCAACTTTTTTTCCTACATGGAGTCTTGATAAAGAGATTGCTAAGGCCACCTTTTTTAAATGTAATGTTAGATGCTTAAAGTTTAGTCAATTCTTTAGAGGGAAGAAGAGACAGGCAATCATAATCTTTCTACTTAATAGAAACCTTGAATGGCCCCTTTTAAAAGTAAGGCAGTCTTACTTTGCAATAGAAATTGATTGTAGTAATTCAAGGTGAATTGCAATTGAGTCCCAAATACTTAGCTGACACAAACAACTCAAACAGGGTAAGGCAAGGAAAATACAGCATTCTGAAAGGTAATCCCTTTGGTTTGAAGATTGAAGTTTCCAAGGCAATACATGCCTATAAGCATAAAACCAAGTCTTCTCTCATCATAGCCTTTGGCATATGGAAGTGTCCATATGCTGAAATCTTTCCAAATGTAATATCACAAAAACCAAAATTGCAACAAACTTGTATAGAATACAAATGGTTCATGTGAGTGTCAGGGCTTAGTAAGAGCAAGAATCAAATCTTTTGAAAAAAATTGTTATTGGAGAGCGTCGGTGCCTAACCAAAGTGAAGCATGTCCCTTCCCAGCTGCTTGTCCCCTTCCTCCCCAATACCTCAGGGTCATTCATGACCTATGGAAAACGTTGATAAACCCAAGGAACATTTAAAGGGTTGAGGGAAGATAAAAGGAAATAAGCCAGCTTCTTTTCTTAAAGTGAATTTTCGTCATATACTAAGTTAGTCTTTGCCAAAATTAAAAAAGGATTTTGAAAGAGAACATTCGAAATAAATAAGAGGCCCACATACATCAGTTTTGCAGTGATTTTGATTTCCTGCTTAATGCCTAATCAGTTTCATACTGTGAAGCCAAATGTACTTAGGAAACCGCAGGACCAGTTTAAGGCCTCCGTAGGCTCGAGGTCATCCACTTTTGGCAGCTCCGCCTCAAATCACATCAAATATGTTAAGGTGAATCCAAGTTAATTAGGTTTATTTTGCTATTAGATTACAAGTTTTTAAAGTAATTTTCCTTTTGCTTTTGTAATTAATATGAAGGCCTTTTTAGTTCTGTTTCATAATTTGAAATCCTTGTTTTTTGAAGGTCTTACTTATACTTTTTGAGGCATTTTAAAAGGCTGTAGGCCCTAGTCCCTGAACTTCCAGTGCCCAAAGGCTAGGGGGGCCTGGCACTCCCTGCTTCAGAGGACTCATGACCTGCTTTTTCCTTTTGTTTTCTTTTTGTCTGTCTCTGGCAGAAAACTTGAAAACATGTATTAATAAGTGCTGAAAACGGACAGCATTTGGAATTGTGCCAAGGTAGAAGGGTGCATATCTGGATGTGTGTGCATATATGTATTTTTTTATTTTTAAAATTCAGCAAGATGGGCAGTGCTTCTATTCAAGAATCCAAATCAACTGGATTTGGATTGTATATGTACACTCACACGTGCACTCATATGCATAAGTTTCCTTTGGACAGGGTTATTTGTCCACATGAAGTTACTGCAGACACCCGAAATAGTCAAGAAGTACCAGATACAAGAAGATTGAATACATAATTAAGGAAACTAGACTGTCCGTCCACCTTCTCACCATCCCTGACTCTGTGTTTTGTTTCACAGCTTTGAAGGACAGCCGGTTTCAGTTGCTGAATTTTTCTAGCAGTGAACTCAAAGTATCATTGACAAACGTCTCAATTTCTGATGAAGGAAGATACTTTTGCCAGCTCTACACCGACCCCCCACAGGAAAGTTACACCACCATCACAGTCCTGGGTAAGAAATGCATGTGGGGCTTACCCAGGAAATGGAACGGGGATGGCCCTTACTACCAGACAGCTTACAGCAGCAAGGAAGAGGTTAATGGTGAATTCTCCTGTTCCAACTTGTTTCAGGAAGAATCGCCGCCCATCTTGCTGAATTTTAAAAATAGCCTATTTTACCAAATGCTCTAAGGAATGGCAATCAGCAGTCTTTATAGATTCCACCTGCTCTTGGGTTTCAACCCTCAAGTTTCAGAAGCAAAGATCAAGAGAATTTAGAGCCCTCAAATGAATCACTCACCACATGAAATGTTATTGCTTCTAACTACCGGGATTTTTTTCTTCCTTCTGTGCAGGGGAAGGGGAGATGGGCTACCAAATCTATACCCCATGGCAGAACTCAGTTGTGAAATCCACATAATGATTTTTCCTTCTGAGTTACATCCTCGTTTTCATATTGTTGATCTCCTTTTCATTGGCTTGACTTATGGCCTTGTTTATTGCTTATACTCTAGATTATGCTGTAAAAAAATCATACCCCATGAACATATACTTTGCCACAAATTGCCATCATTGGACATAAAAGAGTTAAGAGCGCTTTTACTGATAATAAGCAAATAACTGTTGACAGGCTGCTAGGTGCACCTCCAGCGAGCTGAGTGTCTTCATTTATGATCACCAGATTGTGAGTTTCAGCAAAATCCCAGTAGCCAGGTTTCCATGTTTATATTTTAGTATAGTCAGCAGATATTTCTATGTTGAAGGTGGTCTGAATTAGTCACCTTTAGACAAGCTTACTCTACTGCATAACACCAGCTGATTTGGAGTCTTGAAACTGAATTTTCAAGGACATACACTATAGCATGAGGCAAGATCTCTGATTTACACCTTCAGGAAGATGATGAATCAAAGTCTATTTGAGGCGGCAGACTGCAGCTTTTCAGTGTAATGATATGAAGATTAAAGAGGAAAGATAAATATGAAGGACATTTTTGCTTGGTATGTGTGCACATATATGTATTTATGGATGTACATATTGAGCTGCTGCCTCATTACTTTACTTCAACACAGCTGTAGAAGGGAAAATTTTTTTATTCATTAAGCTAAAACATAACCCTAATGCTCACATATATGTTTTTGACAAGAGGAGTATTGATTTTAGAAAGTTGTGTTTAAAACCTGTCCATACAATTTCTAATCTGGTCTGTGTTTAATGATAGATGGCTTTCAGGTATTTGTATTTGTCACTATTGTGGTCTTAATCCAGATTAGACCTGTAGGAATAGTAAGCATGGGAGGTTTTGCTGCGATGACTATTTTGGTATTTTGCAGATGTACCAAATTCGCAAGCATACATTTGAAGTTTTCTGTCTGTCTGCTTGTATCAGAGTATTTGAAAACGCTCTTTGCTTATTGGAGTAAGTCATTAGCAACACAGACTTCAAATTGACCAGCCACTCATCCACCCTTTGACTCATCATCGTTTATGGCATCTCCACAAATGTGACAGTCATAAAATAAAATCTATTTATGGCATTTTGAATTTTCAGAGTATTTTACTACATATACCTTTACGTATTTATATGTTGTTTTTCACAGAAGTAAAATGATAATAACAGACATTAGACATCTTGCCCAGGTTACAAAGCACTCAGTAAGAACCAAGAATCTTAGAATTTGGAATAAACCTTACAATTCTGTTTTATAATTACAACATTGGTGTCTTCCAGTCTAGGTTGTTTTCAGTTAAATACCGAATGCTTTTGTTTTAAGATTTTTTTTTTTTTCCCCAAAAGGCGCACATGTTCTGTTTTCAGGAACATATCTAGCCATTGGCAAGCAGTTACTACTGCCTGTCATTTTCTGGTGCCTGATACATTTATTCTCAAAACCACTGCATGGATCAGTTTGGCTCTGAATACACCATGTGCTTGGGAGCCAGTGTGCCAGCACTAGAATTTTGAGAGGCATTATGCCTGTAATCCTTTAGGAGGTCTGATTATTCTAGAAGTAATAGGTTCCTACTTGTATTTTATAGAAGCATTAAC